GGAAGGAAGGAAGGAAGGAAGGAAGGAAGGAAGGAAGGAAGGTAGGAAGGAAGGAAGGAAGAGAGGGAGGGAGGGAGGGAGGGAAACCAGATATGGTGGCTCAAACCTGTAATCCTAACTAGTTGAGAGGCAAAGATTGGAAATATCACACTTTGAAGCCAACCCAGGCAAAAAGTTCAAAAGACCCTTTCTCAACCATGTGGTGGTGCATGGCTATCTTTCCAGCTACATGGGGAAACACAAATAGGAGTCCCAGGTATAACCAGCAGCAAAAAAAAAAAAAAAAAAGGCTGGCCAAGTGGGTCAGATAGGAAAGCATGTGTCTAGCAAGCACTAGATCCTGAGTTCAAACCCCACTACTGCAAAAGAAAATAAAATTAAAAGGAAAAGGTCATAAGAAAGGTCAGTGTGTGTGGATGGAACACATGTGAGCAGCTCAGCCAGCATAGTCCCCCCCCACACCCACCCAGAGCTCCCCAGAAGCTGAGAGCCTTGCCTGGACCAGGCTTCCTGTCCTGCTTTGGCCTGAGTTTGAGGCAGGTCTCTCGCCCGGAACATTCACACCTTCCTCCTGGAGACCAGGTACCACCATGATCCAGCTGTGCTAGCAGCACCCAGGATGAGCACAGGAGCCCAGAAGCCTCCGACTCAGCCCTGACTCCACTGTTTTGTGCTGCTTTCCAGGGTTCTTCTCAAAGTCCTTCCAAAATGTCCATGGTTCGGCTGGCACATCTACAAAAAAGAACCCTCACGTCCACTCCTTCCACACAGCATATGGGATAGGGTTCGTTTATCCTGTTAGCCAAGTGATCTGAATGCATTGTGCGGAACCTTGAACGTACAGACAATCTAAAGGAGTAAATAAGGGGCATGCGCCATGCTGTCCAAGCAGAGCCAGCCACAAATAACATGCATGTTTGGAATACTTTCCTTTGAGAGTTTTCTCCATGTCACCATATATAACACTAGAATTAGATCTGCAGATGAGGCTTCGTGTCTGGGATTTTCCACTCCCAAGAGGGGGAGAAAAAGGAGGCTAAGGAGACAGGAAGTCTCTGGAGTTGTACAGGCTGCAGGAATTCCACCTGAAAACTTTACTTGGCATGTGACACTGAGCCCTAGCTTCTTAGCCTATAGAATGGGCTCAATGCCAAGCTCCACCCCAAAGGGGAGGAGTCACATCTGAACTATTGAGGAGTTGGGGAGGTCTCAGACCTCAGCCATCTTCGCAACCCTCAGGAATACCTATCATAAACCGGGAGGTAGAGTTGCTTAGAAGACCAGGCAGCGGAGGTTATACCTGTAATTTCAGCTATACAGGAGTTTGAGATCTCAGGGTAGTGGTTCAAAAGCCAGCCTGGGTACCAATGAACCATCTAAAAGCCAGAAATAGAGGTGTGGCTCAAGTAGTAGAGCAGAATCAAGAGCACAAAGCCCTGAATTCAAGCACCAGGAAGAAAAGAAAGAGAGAAAGAAAAATAATATTGTGTGGTCAGATGCTGGATAAGCACAGTTCCCTATGTTTTTTATTTTCTTTTTGGTCAATGGTGGGGCTTGAACTCTGGGCCTGGGTGCTGCTGTCCCTCAACTCTTCAGCTCAAGTCTAGCACTCTTACTGCCTGAGCCACAGTGCCACTTCTGATTTTCTGGTAGTTTATTGGAGATAAGAGTCTCACAGACTTTGTTGCCCAGGCTGGCTTTGAACCGTGATCCTCAGATCTCAGCCTTCTGAGTTGCTCATATTACAGGCATGAGCCAGCAGCACCTGGCAGTTCCCTATATTTCTTAGTGAACTTTTCAGAGCCGTTAGTGTGCTGATGTATGCTGGTGTGTGTGTGTGTGTGTGTGTGTGTGTGTGTGTGTGTGTACTCACCAACAACATAAGAAAGAGTAGTACATGGAGTCACCAGCAGCCGCCTGTCCCCCAGTATACCCAATGGGAATGGTGTGTGGTTGGAGCAGCAATGGGGAAACTTGATCCTAGAGACTCCAGAGGCTCTGCCCTAACCAGCATCTCCCTGACTTTCACTTCCAGAGCTAATGGCACAGCTTAAGGCTCCTTGTTCTCCCACATCTTCATTTTTTTTTCTTTCTCCTCTCCTTCTCTGACTCCAGTGTCCTGTTCCCTTCCTCCCTTCTTCCCCAGCTAATCCGCCAGGGACTCAACCCCAGCAGCACCTCCTCCAGAAAGCCTGCCCTTTCTTCAAGCCTGTCTCTTCTCCCCAGCCCCCAGCTCCACCACTCAGTACAGGGCTGTCCCCGAACAGACTGCCTTCCACCAGGGGAGCCCCCAAGCCAGGGCCATCCCTGCTTCCGCCCTATCACCCACACCCTACCCCCAGCACAACAGAGGTACTCCAACTCTGGGGACTTGGCTAGGGACATAGACAGCTATGCGTGCAAAGGGGGTGGTCAGCTGGGGACATCAGAGTCCTGGTGGTCTCAGTTAGACCCAGGAGGAGAGACACTCAGCCCTGGACTGAGGCCCCTGTGGCTGCTGCTCTGTTCCCTGCAGTGTCAGACGGACATACTGGACACACACACAGCCGCTCCAGCCGAAGGATGCACTATACCTGCAGCCCTGCCGAAGACTGGCCCCCACCCTTGGACATCAGTTCAGATGGGGATGTGGATGCCACGGTGCTCAGAGAGCTGTACCCAGACTCTCCCCCAGGGTAAGGGGGCTGTGAGGGGCGGGGCTGTGAGGGGCAGGGCTCTGGACACCAAAGCCCCTCTTGGGAATAGCAGCAGTCCCTACCCCCCCAACACTCTCCCCTCCCCGCCCCCGCAAAAATTAAAAGACCTCAGTGAGCATGGCCATCAACTCAGCCCTCCTGACAAAGCAGGTCCCCCTGAAGCTGGATGAGATTTAGTGGGTGTCACCAGAACCCACCAACAGAGGCAAGCAGAGCTCCCTCCGGCTGTTGGAGAAGGATCAGAAAGCCTTGCAGTTTGGAGGGTGATCCCACAGCAGCTTCGTGGGCCTCTGGGGTAGGGGGTGAGGGGTAGAACAGTTCAATGCCTGCTTCAGGAGAAAAGTCTGCCGTGCTTGTGTACAACATCAGGAGCCCATCCTGGTCCCCAAGGCCAGGCCACCTCAGAGCTGCAGGTGTCACAAGCCCCTATGGCCTGGCAGGCCTCATGGTGGCAGTGAAGGAGGTGATGTGTCTCCAGTTAGCCCAAAGCAAGATGAAACCCCCCAGCCTGGCCCTCTATTTGAGATGAACCAAGTTCTCAGCCAGAACTCCATCCTCCCCACCCTCCGGCCAGCCCCACTTCCTACCCACCTTAATTTTTGATGGACACACACACACACACACACACACACACAGAGGCCAGGGTAGCTGAGCCCCCTGGGAGACAGACTTTGCTCTGAGCCACACCCCCGTATCATCAATACCTTCTTCCCAAGAAATCCAGGGCCGGGGAGGGGGGGACGGGGGGGAATCACCCCAAGTTTCCAGCCAAGGAAGTGGATCCTGAACCTGAAGGAGGAGCTACGTGAACTGCTCCTGCAGATGGGGCAGAGGGAAGGGAGGATGGCCAGGAGGCTTTCTGGAAACTAGGTCCTTGCTCTGGGGGTGGAGCACCCAAGTCCCAGCTCCTTGGTCTGGAAGAATCTCAAACTACCACCTTTGGGACAGAAGTCAGTGTGTCCAGCTTGCACTTGGGGCCATTAGGCCCTGTTCAAGGGTGAGGGACTTTTCTCAGGGAGCCTGTGAGCCCTCTGCTCCCATCACTCGCAGGTATACTGCCCATCATCACTTCTTCACCTGGACAAGTGTCTCCCCCTCCCCCTCCCGCTCCTCCCCCTCCCCCACCAGGGGCAGCTGCAGAGGCGACGCTTCTTAACCCATACTCATGGGCTCAGTGGGGCCTGAGGCCCTGAGACCCCTTCCTGAATCTCAGCGGCAGCTGTGCCCATGACTCTCACCCACAGCTGGGCATCGCCTTACATGATAACCTCCCAGACAGGTGCAGAGATCTGCTTAGGGCCCCAAGGAGCAGAGTGGGGTCTCCCTGGAGCTCTCAGGAGGCCTATGGCGGGTGGGCAGCGCATCCCTGTGGCTAGGGGAGCAACACTCCCACCACTAAGAGCGTGGACTCCTCTTCTTTTGTAGCTACGAGGAGTGTGTGGGGCCGGGGGCCACTCAGCTCTATGTTCCCACGGATGCACCCCCACCCTACTCGCTGACCGACTCCTGCCCTACACTCAATGGTGCCCCCGATTCAGGCAGCGGCCACAGCCACAGCCAACACCAGCAGGAGCAGAGGACCCAGGGCCAGGGCGGCCTCTACACTGTCTCCATGGACACACTGCCACCTTATGAGGTTGTGTGTGGAGTCCGCTCCCCATCGGACCTGCTGCCGCTGCCAGGATCAGAACCAGGGCCAAGGAACTCACCGGGGTGGCCCACCCCGCGCTGGACTCCAGCTTCCAGCCCAGAGAGGGCTGTGTGAATGAGCCACCTCCTCCAGCACACACAGACACACGATGCTACACGGGCACACCCTGACCAGCCCCCCTCAGTGTGGTTGTGTGTGCACGTAGGCCACCCACCCACAAAACTACCTGCCAAGGGTTCGAATCCATTCAGATGAAGCAGTCCCCACCTCCTGTTCCCAGCCTGGTGGCTGTGAGTCCATCCATGGGAGAAGGGGAGCATCGAAGCTGAACACCCAGCTTTTTCTTCGTTTCGCAGGCTTCACTAGGTGGACCACACCTGAGTTCTCTTTCTCCTCCAGACACTTCTTGGCCAGCCCTGGTCAGCTGCCTGTTCCCGGCCCTTGCCCCAGACTTTGTCCTCTGCCGTGTGCTGTGCCTATTTCTCACCTCTAGGGCAGAAGAGACACTCTTCGCCACTCCACTCTGCCACTTCCAGGGGGGGGCAGGGCACAGATCTGGGGGCTCAGGCATGATGTGGAGGTCCCTCACAACCCACCCCAACTCAACACCCTCAGTGTGGAGGTGCTAGGGGATGATCTCAGCAACCCACCCCGAGCTAGAGAGGCTGGAGCAGGCCCTGGGTGTACAGGGGTGAAGGTATATGGTTCTCTATTCATTCAACCATTGCCCCAGGACTGATGGCTTCAAAGAAGGTAAAACCACCATCTCTGTCTGGGTAGCCTGGCCACAATGCTGTCCAGGAGTGCCCATGCCAAATAAGGGCCTGTCACTCCATCAACGCCTCCCCAAGCCAGACAGCCTGAGCACGAATGGCTGGGTAGCAGGTCATAGATATGAACTCAGTCGAAATACAGGGGTCAACAGCTTCATCAAAACCACCTTGATAGCCACCCGGGTGCCTGTCATCCTAGCTACTCAGGAGGCTGAGATCTGAGGATCACAGTTCAAAGCCAGCCTGGGCAGGAAAGTCTATGAGACTCTTATCTCCAGTTAACCAACAGAAAACCAGAAGTGGTGCTGTGGCTCAAAGTGGTAAAGTGCTAGCCTTGAGCACTGTGTCAGTGTCCAGGCTCTGAGTTCAAGGCCCAGGCCCAACAAAAACAAAAAATCCACCTTGGCACCACCAGAGGACCAGTGTCTCAACCTTACTGCTGGGTCTCCCTACAGGATTTACAAGGCCAGCCTGGTTCTGGAAAGGTTCAGATTTGACCTCTGAACTCCAGCAATCAACATCCAAAACCACGTAGGGATCAGGGATGATCCCTGAGGACCTGGCCTGCCTGCCGATGGTGGTGGCTGAGCATCTTTAGAACGCCCCAGCCAGCATCTGCCCCCAGCAGGGAGCAGGGTGTCTGGCTTCCCTCCACCCCTTCCTAAGCAGTAGATGCCCCCCCATTCATCTTCCTCCCTCACTTCAATTCCTCTAATGAAGGGCTAAGATAATTAATTCTGTAATCCCTTTCTTAAGCAAAGGGGTGGTGAGGAAGGAGAGCTTCAGTATTCTTTTCTGAAGAAATAGCCCTTCTTCCAGTACAGAGCTGAACCCAGAGGTTCTGTAGCATCCTGTGTGAAGCATCCTGGACCTTGTTTACAAGCAGCTCTGCCCACCTTTATGGTCTACTGCTTTCCAGGCAAAAATACCTGTCTGTTACACTGTAGTAGATAGCCTTTCAAATGAGACTCTTAAGAAACAGCCTGTTTTCAGGACTCCCTGCCTACATCAGTGTCAGAACCCAACAGCTTTTCTTGTTCCTGGACTCCTGGAAGCTGAATAAGCAATGATGTATCTTTTCTGTGTCTAAAATAAATATATCCTATCTAAAATGTAGCAAGATGTAACTGCTTGCAAAGAGCAATGAAGGGTCATATGTCCAAGGCAGATTGAAAGGGAAAGAATCCCCTAAGCAGCAGTGATCTGTAAATCTGTCTCCCAGCAGGAAAGCTTCCTGTGATCTGACAGGTCTGAGACACTGAAGCCCTTGTCGCCTGCTAAGCTCAGTGCTCCTGTACAGGGAAAGTCACAGGAATTCTTGTTTCTTTTGTTTTGTTGTTGCTTTGGTGGTGGCGTTGCTGCTACTGTTGTTTTGGTGCTAGTAGTGGGGCTTGAAGTCAGAGACTCAACATTCTCACTTGGCTTTCCCCCCTCATTCTCCTTCTTTTCTGTGCTTTCTTTAAAAACCATGTCCTTGACTTGGGTGCTCACACGTACAATCCTAGCTACTCAGGAAGCTGAGATCTGTGGATCGTGGTTCAAAGCCAACGTGGGTAGGAAAGACCATGAGACTCTTTATCTCCAATTAACCACAAAAGGCTGAAAGTGGAGCTGTGGTTCAAAGTAGTAGAGCTCTAGCCTTGAGCATAAACCCTCAAGGCCAGACTCTGAAGCACCAAAAATAAATAAAACCGTGGCTCTGGCCATTGATCACTGGTTCCCATCCTCTATCAGACATCCTCCCCACTCCATCTTATGCCCTAGACCCTCAAGTGCCTGACACTGGGGTTCAGTCCTAAAGAGTAGACTACTGGGGAATGGGCCCAACCCATTACTCATACTCTGAGCTAGCACTGCCACCTGCTGGCTGCTTGTTGCCACTGCTCGGGTAAAACAAGGCTGCTATTAAGAGTAAGGAAACTTGCCCACTTTGAAATCTTCTGCTGGGGGCTGGGAAGGTGGCTCAGTGGTAGAGCGCTTGCCTTGTATGCATGAGGCCCTGGGTTTGATTCCTCAGCACCACATAAAGAAAAAAAGCCTGAAGTGGTGCTGTGGCTCAAGTGGAAGAGTGTCAGCCTTGGGCTGAAGAGCTGAGGAACAGCGCCCAGGCCCAGAGTCCAGGCCCTACGACTGGACCCAAAAAAATAAAATGAAATCCCCTGCCCATTGATACTCCTAGCTGTGGACCAAACTTATCATTTTCATCCTGGGCTTGTCTTCTATCCTTGGGCGTTCTGTGAGGTTGAATCCATTGGAAGCATTCCATTTTCAGGTATAACCTGCCTCCCAGCCTCCTCGAGACCCCAGGATACCCTCCAGTGTGACGTCATCACCCAGTGCCCCACATGCATACTCAGGTGTTACAATCGCCCATGCTCCCGCTCAGCTGTCCCCATTGCCACCGGTGATGAATCTTCAGTCCCCAGCTGTGCTCTGCTGGACCTCACATTGATCCTCACAAGCCCAGGACCTACCCAGGCCAGGCTGGTATGTGTGAATTTAGGGCCTTGGTATGTCTACCCTCAGGGGTGCAACACAGTTGCGCCCACCCAACTGGTCTGCAAGGAACCCTAGGGCTGTGTTGTTCAGGCCATTGTCACAGCCTCTGTCACACAACTGACCGCCTTCTAAGGGGCTGGGACTGCCTCATCTCTGCTGCTCTGGTGGTCGCGCCAGGCCCACAGGCCCACAACTCAGCAAGGGGTAGTCTCTGAATGCCTGTGACTGTGATGGAGAGCAGTATCCTTGGCTGTGACTGGGGTCACAGAATGACTTCCTGGAGAGTCTCTGATTGGCCGTAGCTGATTGGGTGGACCTGAGTCACATGCTCACTCTGGAGAGAAGGAGCCAAACATTGACAATAGGAGGAAGCGAGGAGAGCTGGCCACTCACAGAATGGCAGGCTCTGCCATGTTCCCTAATAGGTACAGGCACTACCTATCAACTCCAAGGCCAGAGGCAGACAGTGACCACATGGCGACAAGCACAGGTGTCAAGGCATGGGAAGGTTGCAGATGTAGTTCAGCGGTAGAGTGCTTGCCTAGCACAGATGAGGGCCCAGGATCAATTCCCAGCCACACACACACACACACACACACACACACACACACACACACCAGGATCAATTCCCAGCAACACACACACACACACCAAAAAAAGAGATAAGAAACATGGTTTTTAAATAAGAATGGCAAAGAGAGCTGAAGTCCCTGGCTTAGGAAGTGCTCAAAAATGAACATCAGGGTTTAGGTGATGGATTTATTGGCTACCATAAGCAAGAAGAAAATCACATTTCTCCCAAAACAAATGCTCAAATTGAGCCAAGGGGGAAATGTACTGGACTGTTTGTCAACTCCCAAAGATGGTCCCAATATGTGAGGGTTTCTGGTACTAAGGTTCCTGCCTTCCTCCCTTTTCTAGCTAATTAGCAGCATTTGAGTTTCTGTTGACGAGATTCAAGAACTGGTCCAGACAGGACCCAGAACTAGAATCCTTGACCTATTAGCATTCTCTGGGGCTAGACCACAAGGTGTGCCTGGTACCCTTTGGGAAGATGTCCACATTTGGGGGGAGGGTTGGAGGGAATCCTCATTTGCAACTAGCCACACAGTCACCGTTCCCAGTGCTGTGCTGTCTTAGGGGGCTCTCCACCCTGTTCCAGAAAGCCAGGAGCAGCAACACTTCAAGATCCTTTTCCTGTTAACTACCTCCCAAAGGGGATGTTCTTCCTTCCTCTTGCTTCCCATTCATTTCAAGATATAGCTGAGCCCTCAGTGCTGCTACAGCTGAGTAAAACTAAACTATCTTCTGGTCCAGTAAAGATGGCGTCATGCTCTATGCCCTGAGATGTCCCCTGGGATGGAAAAACATTTCAAAAGACTTAATTCAAGACAGTAATTCCAAGAGCAAAGCTCCTGGAACATAAGGAAATAAGGGAGCGCCACAAGCTGGGCTGACCCCAACTTGGCAGTGGGCTGAACAGCCAGGCCCTGACTATTTTCTTGCCTATTCCGTGGCTGTCCACTTCCAGATGAGCAGGGGGCTGAGGCTACAGCAACTCTGCGCCAAGAAATCACGCATCACTGGGCCAGAACCAAACAGCACAGTTTTATGAAGGTCTAGAAATTCTGATTGTGTCCTTGAGAGCTGGTCAAAATTGGGAGGGTGAGATCAGCTCCATGTACTGTCAGCTCTCCCCCACAAAGATGTGAGAGGTTACAGCAGGCAGCGGCAAGATGGTAGGGAACAGAGCTCAAGATGAGGCAGCCCAGACCAATGGTGCTGGCTTTTGTGTGCACTGGCTGGGTGGCTTAGGAGAGTCCCTGGACCTCTCTAAACTGCGAATCCGTACCTAGGATATGTAAGATTGCTTCCTCACCCTGCTGGGTAGTCTGAAAACAGTCTGACACTGGTTTACAACAGGTGTTCTGCCTAAGGGCTTCAGAGACGGGACCGGGCAGTGGGAAGCCATGAGAGGTTATGGATGAGCAGCTGCAAATCCCAAAGGGCATGACAGATAAGTCCATTGGTCCCACGATAAAGACATCGGCCAAAGAGAAAAGGCCGTTAGGAAAATAAATCTGGCCAGGTAAGAGGCTATCCTAAGAGATTTTTTTTTTTTCTAATTGTTCCTAACAGCTACCTTGGCAGCTGCAGGCAACTTCCTGCCATGATCCTACAGATCTTTCCCACCCTATGGGCCATGCTTCCAGTTCTCCGGAGTGAATATCCGGGCCCGGTTTTGTTCAAAGAGCTCTAACATTTTCTCCATGTCGTGGTCGGCCTCCATCACCTGGAAATGAAACACACAGGTCACAAGCTGTGTGGACCTCCACACCGTCTTCCCTCGGGAGGCAGGAAAGGTACAGAAACCAAGGATGCAGGCAGAAAGGCAGGGAAGGCTGCAGTGAAAGCCCCAGCTCTAAGGCGGTCTGCCCTGAACTAGGCTTTCCTTGTAGGGGGCTCATGAATGCTGTTTCTCCGCTGGTATTTTTTGTTAGTTTCCCTACGATCTTGGGGATGGAGTGAAGAGCCTCCCATAGGCTAGGCTACATCCCAGCCTCTCTCATCATTTTACAACCTCTAATTTTTTTTCTAATAAAAGGCTTTTAAAATCCCTCCCCCCCCATATGTCCCTTGCCAACAGCACCAAGACTGTAACATCCAAAAGAGTGTACATTCCAAGGCCATGCACAAAAAGTTCTTGATCCTCCTATTTTTCATGTAACAGCCTCAGATTCTGACAGCCCGCCTGAAAAAAATAGGGTAGAGCAAGTCAGAGCATAGGGGATAGGCAGCAGGAAATGTTGAGGCAGATGCACCAGTGCCCTTAGAAATAATGCATGGCTGCAAAGAGAAAGGAAGGCCACGGAGGAAAGGAAGGCCAGCACCGGAACTGAAAGGCAGCAAGGGTCAGGCAAACATCCCTGCACACTTCGGCACCACCCAAGGGCACCACCATGCCACAGCCCAGCATAGCCACTGATATGCCTTCTGATGACCTAGAGTCACCAACAAAGGTAAACTGAGGCTGTGTCATTCACTGAAGAAGGAAGGTCACAGCAAAGGGACCACCCCCCCCCCCAAAGGTCCAAACCCAGGCACAGAGGCTCCATTTGCAGCTGACACTGGGTGACAGAGTGCTAAAGCAGCAGGTGTCATGGACTGGGACAGGTGGCCTTCCCTCAGGTGCGTCGGAGTCACTCTGAGACTCAGCTAAAGAAAAATGGGGACTAAGAAGTCCTTTCCTCCCTCCTCCAAGGACCACCTCCATCTACAGGATGGCTGACACCCCTTCGCCCTCCCTGGGGAAGTCCTGACTTACCAGGACCGGGGCCTCTATGGGGAAGAGACCTCCAGTGATGAGCCACTCCTCATACAGCCGGTGAATGGCTTCCAGGTACTCCTGCCGGAGAAATGAAGGCGCTAAGGCTGTCAGGAGTAACAAGGGGAACAACCCCCACCCCCAGCCCCCAGCCTGCAGCGGCCTATCACCAAGCTTTCCCTTGACCACGTCTGTACACAGACCTTGTCAGAATTAAGGACTCCTGATGTGGAACTTCTTGGGAACATCCGGGTCATCACATGCTGTGGTGCCCACATGAGAGCCTAGCCCATGACACACCGTCCCCCTATCACTCCTGTCTCTGGGACTTCAAAGGAGCTGCCCAGATTGAAGTCTTCATGGCCAGAATATATCTCACTGGTCCAGGGTAAAACCTGGCTGGGTGAGGACTCAGGGTGAAGCAGGCCTTTTAGTCCAGCTTATCCTGAGCCCAGGGTCACATGACATCCCACTAAATGCTTGCCCAGCCTCTGAATACTCATGAGGTATTCAGTTCAGTATTAACTGAGCAGCTACCAAGTACCAGCTCACATACTGAGGACACAGAGTGAGATCCAGCTCTGTAAAAACTCAGGGCTTAACGAGGGTTGAGGAGCAAAGACATAAACCAACACCATCAGTACACAGTCCTAAGCAAGCCCAAGGGGCAGGGAGACACAATGGAGGAGAAAAGGTCAGGGAAGACTTCCTGGAGGAAGTGACATCTGAGCTGGTCTTTGAAGGTGGAGGAAAGCATTGCACCAAAGCACATTTTCATAATTCCATGGTGTCACCTGTGTGTATGACCCACAACTGGTTCCTTGTGGCCACAGCATGGAAGGCAGGGAGCTGAGAGACAATGCCACAGACAGCTGGGACAGGTCATACGGGGTCCTCCTACATGGACTTGTAGAGAGTGTGAGGCTCTGAGGGTCCTGAGCTGGGCAATTGCATGAGTGTCATTCTGCACTGGGATTACACCTGTTGCTGGAAGCTGGATTTCGGAGGGAGATTTGGAGAATGAGGGACCATGGGAGGGGAAACGGAACCAAGCCTCAGTGAGACTCGATGTGACCTTAAGCCAGAACCCTACCCAACAGGCAAGGCTGCCCTGCTCTGGGTTCAAAGTAACAGGACTGAGCACCATGCACATGCGGCACTTTGCTAACTAAACACAAACCACAGCAGGGAGTGAGAGGCTGGGTTCTACTCTCCCAGAACTCACACTCTAGTAAGGATCCAGAGGAGCACACAGGCCTGGCAGTCTCCAGGGCCTGGCACTGCCCAGGCAAGCCGGGGGGTGGGGGGGGGGCCTCTGCGATCAGTGGTTCAGAAGCCTGCACCAGGCCATCGGACGTGGAACAAAACCATAGAGGAAGTCCGAGTTTACCCTCCCGCAACCCTTCCTGGGTCAGCAGCATGGTGGAGGGGAAGCTGGTGGGGTTGGAGGTGGTTTCCGGTTGTCTCTGACCTCTTACCAGGGGAATGACCTTCTCTTCTTCCCTGCACCTCATCTTTAATCTCTGGTAACAGATCTCAGGAGTGGTCCGGAGATAAACTGAGGTTTAAAAAAAAAAAAAAAGGCTTTTATTACTCTACATATGACTTGAGTAAAAGCCAAGGAAGGCGCATGGGCTCAGGATGGAGAAGAGCCAAAGGGCTGAGCTGGAGCCTCAGCCCAGAGGGCCAGCTCCTGACTGCCACTGGCCTCATCCCCACATTTCCATTCCCATCTGATATTCCAGCTCCACAGGGTCACTGTGAGAATGAAAGCAATTCCACCCGTGGACGGGACAGAGCCCTCAGTATACATGTCCAGTTTGTTTCTGTCCTCCACAATCCAGAAAACCCAGCTTGGGAGGTGTGGGACCAGGAGAGGGCAGCTTAGGGGTCAAGGCCAAAGCCCTTCTGTGGGATGGGCAGAAACCCCTGCCTTCTGTCTGCCCCTAGGGAGAAGATGGGATTCACCACATCCCTGCAGGGCCGGATCCTGAGTGTCCAGGGGCACTGGCAGGCAGGGGCAGGGGGTGACCGTCTTACCGATCAGATCCACAGACACGTTTATGTTCCTCACGATCCAGTCAAACCATTCTGAGAGAACCACATAATCCACTTCCGCCATCTTCCCACTGCAGTGAAAATTGTAAGGGCTTTAGTACCTGTGAGGAAGTTTCTGGGCTGTGCCAGTCCCCAAAAAACAGCCACGGGTGCCTTTTGTAGAAGGGCATCACCAAGTGCACCTGGCACAATGCTGGATGTGTGGTAAGCCAGGACCCTGGGTGATTCTGATCTTCACTGCAGGGGATGGTGTGCAGCACAATGCCAGCGAGAGACATGGCACTGAAGAATGCACCTGGAATCTGAACTCCAAGCACAGAAGGGCGCTTTGAAGTTTGTCCCCTGAGAATGGAGACAGCATTCAAGTTGGGAGATAGAGCAGCAAATCAATTTCCCTCATTGAAACTTCTTTTGTGGAAAGAATCATGGGTGTTCACTAGAGCACAATTAAAATAAATGACAAAGTAAATCTTGATCTATCTATATACCAGAAAAACCATGCAGCAACTGGGGGAAGATGGTGAGCAATACTTAATAACATGGGAAATGCTCCAAATCCAATGCTCAGTGAACACAGCAGGACATAAAACTGTGTACACAGTGTGACCCCGGCCAGAGTTTCAAAAATATTCATCCATTTGATTTGAAACAGCTAGAAAGCCAAACGCCAGAGCATTAACAGCTTTTCTCTGCGCTTAAGAACTATAAGACACTTGGTGGGTTTTTTTTCCTTGTATCTTTTTGTATTTTCTACATTTTAATAACATGTTCGTTCTCAAGTCAAGAGTGGGAAGGGAGGGGCATTATTACATGTTTTAAATGTTAGCTTAGTAAGAAAGGAAGAGGACTAGTCCTGGCATCCTGAGCATCCTCTGCCCTGAGAGGACATGGACTGGACAGGGAAAGACAGGGATGGCAGTAGCCACAGGGCACAGGCTCAGAAGCAGGAGGAGCCACCACAGGGCCTGGAGAGGAATCCTTCCTGTGGGAAATCCTTTTGGCTCTGGTTGTGGCCAGGCTAGACATGGGGAGAGCAAACAAGCCAGGGCTTCTGATGGGTGGGAGAAGTGACTAGTCTTTGCCCATGTGTGGACCAACTCCAGCCCCATTGGGAGGGGTGGGAGATGGGAATAAGTGAGAAGATGAAAAGGTGGGAGGGAGGAGTTCTGGGAGACCAAGGACACAAGCAGCCTTCCAGTGGGATCCAAACACAAGGTCTGGTACACACTGGAGAAGGACACTCTCTCTTGACTCTGGGACCATCAGATGCTCTCTGCAGGGCAGAACTGAGCCTGATGGGAAAGCAATTAATATGATCCGCAATGACCTGGTTAGGAGCAGAAGAAGTAGAAACCACGGAGGGGAGGGGAGCAGGAGTGGGAGGAAGTGCAGAGGGGGCTCAAGCACGATGACCTGCAGGCACCACCTCTAAGGCAAAGACCTGAGGCTGCCTCCGTGCCCATTTCCTCTTCAGGACATGGCCTTGCTGCCAGACACCCAGCCCCACCTCGAGCCTTGGGAAGTGTAGGGCATCTCCTTGCCTTAAGAGCACAAGCTGGACCAATGAAGGGGGAGCATGGGCCAAAGGGCTGAGGGGCTGAGGGGCACACAGTTGGCATGACACCTGCTCTTTCCTGTCAGCCAATCAGAAGCATGCTACGCCACAACGATCCTGTCACCACAAAGGAGTCATACCAAGGTCAGGAACAAGACATGGAACAGGAAAATGGAGCCAGAGGCACCAAATCAACCTAGTCCATTAACTGAGCCAGGGAGCGCCTCATTGTTCTGGCGACTTTGTCAGGTTCCAGTTAGTTCAGTCAAGAGGATGTGATGTTTAAGAAACTACATTAAGGCCAGGTGTGGTGGGTCAAGCCTGTGATCCCAGCTCTGGAGGCTGACGCAGGAGTGATACAGGAGTTAGACCGTGCGTTAGGAAAGGAGGCTGAGAAGACTGGCTTGACTGTTGATATGACAGCCTGTGGAAAGTGTGTCATGGTTAGACGATCCAGTCTCTGGAAGTTGGTGATACATTAACCCAGTGTTCCAGGATGGACCGCCCCCATGACAACAAACCCCAATACAAACTTTGAGGTCTTGGGACCCCCCAGTGCTCCCTCTTTAGCATGACTACCTGCCTATCTGGAAGGGATATTTTGGCTTTTTCACTCTGCTTTGCCTTCATAAGCCCACTTAAAGCCTCCTCTGAGTAGCTCCATGAATTTTTCTTCAATGAGATCAAGGACCTTCTGGCCACAAAACCTAGGGACCTGAATCCAGTTACATCAAGATCACTACTTCTAGGCCAGCCAGCCTGCACCAGGTAGTAAGATTTTGTGTCTCCTCCACCCCAAGCAAACAAGCAAGAAAATAATCTCCCAGTCAAACACTAGTTTGTATAAATTATTTCTTCTTTATAAGGCCAGGTTTAGTTCCAACTCAGAGAGGAGGAAAACTGAGGCTAAGGAAAGTTAGGCCCAATGCTGTCTGGGCAAGCCCTGCTTGGCCCCAAAACCCATCGGGTCTGCGAACTGAAAGTCCTTGGTGGGGACCAGAGCAGAGGAGGGTCCACACCACAGGGCCAGCAGGGGAGGTGGGAGGACTTACTCATTGTCCCAACATGCCAGGTGAGTCAGCCAGGGCCCTGTCCCCAGCTGGGCCCCACTCAATTCCTTCACTTCTGTTCTGAGGAAAGGAGACCCAGGCAGCAACCTTGTAAAACCTCCGCATGCAATTATTCAGCCCACAGGGTTGGCAACACAATGGCCTGTGTGGCCTCTTGACGCTTGTTCACCACCTGCGGCTTTCCATTGCCTGGTGGCCACACCTCCCAAGTTCCCATCTTTCAAGACACCCTGTAACCAGATCTTCCTCTTCAGCAATTAACACAACCCCCTCACAAGGACATAATTGCCTCTTTCTACCCACCCTAACCTGGCTGAGGAATGGGGCAGGTAGAAAACTTGGGGCTCTCCCCCAGGTGATTTCTTCACAAGCGCAAGGATATCCTTAGAGAAATTTTGCTTTTATTGAGATGCAGAATTCCAGATTATTCTGGGAACCCAAGCCTTCAACTGCCGACAGCAAGGCTGTGTCTGCCATGCCCCCTTCCTCCAGGTCCCCACAGGTCCCTATCCAAAGCTGCTAGGGCTCCTGAGAAGAATACCAAGTACAGGCCTGAAGGGATCGCAACTGACTCCCCTACAGTGCACTAGGAAATGTCCCTTGTATTTCCTAGAAACACAAGTCTGGGGCAGGGCTGGTACCTCAGCCATGATCTGGCTGAGCTCTTGTACACACTCCAGGTAAGGGCGAATGATCTAGCCAAACGCAGTTCTATGCTCCATGTGATGCAGACCCAAAACCACCATGGGGATCCAGCTTGACATGAGTACAGCCATCTTGGTCATAGTATTTTGTCTACCAGGAGATCCTGGCATCCCCAGAAGATGTGAACACCCAGGCTTCCTTCTGGTCCCAAAAGGATGGCAAGCAAGAAGAGAGATGAGCTGCCCTGGTCAGCCTTAGCCAAGTCCATCCTAGCTCAGCCCACCCCCAGCCATCTCACTAGCTCTAGCCAACCACCCTCACTGACCTGTGACTGCTTGTTACACAGCATTGCTAAGGCAACAAATAACTGACCCAACAGTCAGTACTCCATACTTGAATGAATGAACAATGTCATTTCAAAAATTCATTCCTTTTGGGGGCTGGGAAGGTGGCTCAGTGGTAGAGCGCTTGCCTTGCATGCATGAGGCCCTGGGTTCGATTCCTCAGCGCCACATAAGCAGAAAAAGAGCCAGAAGTGTCACTGTGGCTCAAATGGTAGAGCACTAGCCTTGGGCTGAAGATCTGAGGGACAGTGCCCAGGCCTAGAGTTCAGGCCCCACGAATGGCAAAAAAAAAAAAAAAAGGAAAGCATTCATTTGGACTGGGGGCATCGCTCAAGGAGCCTTATAGCTCTTCTCTAGTAAGCACAAGACTAAGTTCAAATTCTAGTATTTTTTTTTTAAGGACACCAGTGCTTCATGCTGTAATCTTAATTATTCAGGAGGCTGAGATCTAAGAATCTAGGTTCAAAGCCAGCCCAGGCAGGAAAGTCTGATCTCCAATTAACCACCAGATAATGGGAAGTGGTGCTATGGCTCAAAGTGAAAAAGCGCTAGCCTTGAGCAAAAGAGCTCAGAGACAGCTCCCACAGCCAGAGTTCAAGCTTCACAACCCACAAAAACAAATAAACAAAGAGTGGTTCAATAAATTATCAACCATGCAAACTAATGTACCTTCTATACAGGTTCTCTACAAAAATGTATCTTGCACTGTGAATCGACCTCTCCATCAACCGAACAGGTGACATCTAAAGGAAAATAAAAAAGTGATCTAGCAATTCAGAGAAAAAGAGGAGTCAGGATACCCTGAAAAGCACATCTGGCCCTATCAGACTTGTTCCCACATTCTGCAGAATACAGAGAGGCCAGAGTCCACAGGACACAGGATCAGGACCCAAGGAAGAGCCCAGTCTTCCCTAAGGCTCTACTCTGCTCCACCCACCACCCTGACGTGTCCCCACTCTGAACAGAGAAGATAGCACAGGAACACACAAGGTTGTGGGATGCCAGCAGCTGCCCTATCTTCTAGGCTCACCTGGAATGTGGGAAGCCTAGAAACTGCCACATGCCATGCACTGAAGACCCAGTGCAGAGAGGTCAGCCCTGAACAGGATGAATGTGCTTACAAGGAGATCACCAGAGCCAGCTGGGGTCAGGGCTACCTTCTGGGGGGGCTCTGCCTATGAAAATCAGAAGGACTGCACCCCAAAGGAAGATGACTGAACATCACCCCTCTCTGCCAGGTGCTCACGCCCTCCACAGAACTTTCTCTTGTCTAGTGTCCCTTGGAGAAGCAGGAGGGGGACATGTCCTCCACACCCAGTGGAAATCACTGTGCTAGATGGGCTCCGGAGCCCATCTTTCCCTGACTCCCAGTCCAGCCACCTCCTTCTGCTTCTTTTTCAGCTCCCTTGCTGTTTTCCTTCTTAGCAATAGATTTCCACCCAAGTCCTACTCTACTCAGATATCACTAGATACAATTTAGGTTTGCAACTGCGTGTCCACTGGGGAAATACGGGGCCAGTCAAGGGGAAACGGGCTAACTGCAGATGTTCTGATCGATACCAATTATAGGGAAATATTGGGGGAGAGAAATTCAGACTCCACTCCCATCTTCTGATTTTAAAAGCTACAGACTATGTCAATAGAAGGAGAGGAGCGCTACAGATAGGTGTCTACACACACTTGAATCAAACTGCTTGGCACCATGGCTGTGGCAGCATTAACAGATTAAGTAGGTGTTTGCAGATTAACACTGGCCAGATCTTATCAAGTAACACAGTTATCTTAAATGCTTCTCCCTGTGTGGAGAAGAAGCTCTCTCACTGGTATCTCAGATGGGCTTGTAGCTTCTTCCTACAGGTAGGTACCAATTGGAGTCTTTGCAGCAAGCTACAATATGTTCCCGGTCTCTTCCATCCACAGTGACCAGGTACCCTATGTCTCTACACCAGCACCAACATGGAACCAGAGCCAGCCATGTGACTCAAGCTGAACCAATCAGATGCTTTCTTTTAAGAATATGAATTCAAAGCCAGACCTGGTGAACGTTACATCAGTGGTTCTGGAACATGGAGATACTCGACACCCATGGGTGTCTGGTCAGCTGGATAGAGCAGAGATGCTGGGCTGCAATTTCTAACTCAGTAGGTCAGACAGCAGGGAGCTGGGTGGAGTGGAGAGGGGATGTGCATTTCCAACAAGTTCCTAGGTCCTGGAGCTGTGAGCTCAGGGTGACCCTCTGGGTGGATGGGGGACGCTGGACATGAGTCCTCAGGGAGCCTGCCATAGACAGAGAAGGCTGCACAGCACTGCAGGCCTAGCTGGGCTTCCTGTCAGACCTCCCTCCCTGGCACTCATCCCCCTAATTTGAAAGAAATCTCATTTGGGAAGGTTGAGATGGGGCATCCCATACCTGCGGACGAGTGTGCTGGTCCAGCATGGTGAGCTGCACGTACGTCTGCAGCGTAAGGCCCCATCGGCGGGCATCACCGTACATCAGACTCTGCAGAAGGGAGAACGCAGCACCTGGCATTCAAGTGGCACCTCAGGACGCTAGTCACTGAAAAAACTACTTCAAGAACCTACATAACACAGGACGGGCCCGGAAGGACGGGCCTAGCACAGCCACGGGGCCCTCTGCACAGGGCAGACAGACACAGACAGCAAGGTGGTTATAGGATACCAAGTGGCAGGTAGAGCAAGCAAGAGGTGTCTCCTGGAGAAGAAGCACTCAGTCATTCAGTAAATGTTCTTTGAGTTTCTGACAGCTATTTTGCACCCAGTGACCCAGTTAAGCCTAAATCCGTTCCTGTCACTCCTTTCTCTGAGCCTTCTAGGGGCTTTGCATTGCATTCAGAATGAAATCCAGATCCTCAGTATGGCCCACAGGACGCTAGAGAATTACTAAAATCCTCTCTCCTCTTGCTGACCTAGCTTCCAACAGCACATCCACAGTGATCAGCAAACACCCAGTCAGAGCCCTCCTCAGGGCCTTTGCAACTTGCCACACCTACTAGAACATTCTTCCTCAGAAGTCTCCCTTCCTCATGTTTGGGTCTCTGCTCATACATCACTTTTTATCTAGATAGGGTCTTGTGGTTTTTGTGCAGCTAGCATCAGACCATGGTCTTTCTGTCTTTGCCTCCCACATAGCTAGGCTTATAGGCATGCCTCACCAGCTCAGCCCTATCTAGCTCTTTCAAGCAAGCCAAGCAGAGTATTCTAAATGAAGAAGGGTCGCATGCACACTATGAACTCTACTTTCTAAGTGCAGCGTGGGAAAGCAGACAAGTGGCTTCAGGGTGGGCAGAGGCAGCACTGGTCCCTGGGTATTGCTAAGCACACATCCAAAGCACGAGTTCACAGGAATCTGGCTACTTTGCTCCAGACTAAGTGCTGGAGAGTAGGCCCAAAGACAGGTTCTGATAGCCACTTGAGATAGGTTGAGACAGACAAAATGAAGTACCTCAGTTCTGTATATACCCACACAGACTGCAGAGATCCTTGGTTTCAGAACACTACAATTCACCATTTTTTGATTGTCCCTCCTGTTGTCTAACTACATATCTCAGGAAACAGTGAGGACAATGCCCAGGCAGGCTTTGCTCAGGTTCTAGTACCACCACTCCCAGGTATTGAAGGCTTTGGGCAGGAAACAACCACTCACCAGAGGATTGTGGCCACGAACATTTCTCCACTTGGGCACAGGCTCCATCAACACCTGGAAAGGAAGAAAAGGTGAGAGAGCTGCTGAGAGCTGCATGCTCTGACCTCTGCGCTCGTGTGCGTGTCAAAGTTCAGGTGCTCAGAGTGGGCCAAACAGCCAAGCAACCCCTCTGTGAGGCCCCAACTCCATCTAGATGGGGCCTCCCGGTGCAACCTCCAGAAAGAGCCTGAGAACCACTGAACCTTGGCCAGGTCTAAAGGCTCCGTGTCCGACCAAAGCTAACGGAGGTTTTCACACCACAGAATACAACAAGGCCCCTGGAACCAGGCACCGGAACTAGGATCTGGCCCCAGAATACACTAGCCATGAATATTAGTCAGGGGGCAATATGAAACAGAATCCACAATACGACTGCAGAGGTAGATCCATGAAAGGGAAATAAGAAGTTACAGAGGCTGAGAACTCGGTCCAATGACAGGTCATGTGAAGCTGGGGACCTGAGGATGCTGGAAGTGATGGCTCAGTCCACGTCCAAATCTGAAAGCCAGGGAAGCAACTAGGTCTCCAGCTGAAGGCCCAGGAACCCAGGGGCCTCGGACCCAAGTTCTGACATCCCAAGACCAGAGAGTCTAGAGTTCCGACCTCTAAGAACAGGAGAAAGAGTTCTAATGCTAAGATAGGGAGAACTTCTCTCCATTTTGTTCTGTCCAGGTCTCTAGCCAACTGAATGTTGCCTTCCCTCTCCTCCTCACCCCACTGATGGTGGATCTTTTCCACTCAGTCACCTGACTCACACCTCAATCTCCTCTGGAAATACCGTTCAGACACATAGAAACACACGCGACCAGTTCTCTAGGTACAGAAGTCTCTCCATATTCAAAGCAGATGTTTCCCAGAATGAAAGATTTTACCAAACACTATTTACTGTTTTGTCCTATGCATACATACTATAATTAAGCTTACTTTATATATTAGACACAAACAGATTCACAAGGAACAATCAAAACAGAACAATAGTAACAACATACTGTAATAAAATTGCCAGCAATGCTATTCTTGAGCTTTGGAACCACTGTAGCTGATCTGACAATACATAACTACAGTGTAGCTTACAGGAGGGTAGCACATACAATACAGGTAAAGTGGGCAAAGCGATGATTCATGTCTTGAGTGAGAAAGTGTGGGATGGAATGAAATTTCATCAAGCACATCCTGCTACAGTGGACAAATTTAAGCCATAGGAATTGTTTACCCTGGGATTTTTTACTTAGCATGATTAAATGTTAAATAATGAGGTCACCATGATTGACCTCATGTGCAAACACAGATTAGAAAGAATTACCATATTCCTTAATCTAGTCAAGATGACACCAGATCCCAAAGACATATTGTAAAAAAAAAAAAAAATAGTTCACTGATGATTTTCATGTTGACAGTATGTTAATGTGATATCACATTTGGGATGTCGTGTATTAAATGTTTTGTTTTTTTTTCAAGAAGCGTTCAGTCACATATGTGGCTTGCACTGGCGGGTCCCTGTCTTCTATTGGACAGGATTGGTCTATGCCCTGAATAAATTATTTCATCAAGCTTCTTCTGATTCTCTCAAACCCAGTAGCTCAAACTCCATACCTCAATGTCTGTCGTGTTGGAGAAGAACTCCAGGCATGTTGTCTTTCCACTTGCAATATTGCCCTCAACACAAATCTAGCAAGATACAAATACACATTAGAGCTTCAAGTGCAGCATGGGGAACACAGCACAGGGAAGGACTCAGGTGAACATCAGAATGACTCAGTGCAAGACTTGGACAGGTAAATCAAACTCCCCTCCTCAGGAAACCTTTGCTCATACAACCCCATCCCCAGCCAGTGGAGCTACTCATTTCCAGTTCCCTTGAGGAACTGAGCTTCTGGAATGATGACCAAAGTATTGCCTCAGTTCTAGTCAGCTAGAGCATCCTTGTATTCAAATCCAATGTCAAGGGCCTCTGAGCTTAATACCTGAGAGAGAATTAACTAGGGAAATACACTCATGTGATTATAAAGGTTGTCCATCCCATGACAGGTCATCTGATGCTGGAGACCCGATGGCTCGGTCCACATCCAAATTGAAAACCCAGGGAAGTGACGGTGTCTCCAGTTGAAGGCCCAACAACCCAGAGGACCTAAAAGCCAGCATCTCCAAAACACTTCATGATGAACGTACACCTGGAGACCCTCATAGATTCTCTCTGATCCCTTTCCCAGCCATCAGCCTCAGCACTGCGTGGTAGGAGGTGATGGTTCCCTGACCTTCCCTCACAAGTAGACAACCCAACCCAATGAAAGCAGCGTTCCCTACTCAGGGCAAGAATTTTCCAGTGCTTTCCTAGTCACCCTATCCAGCTTCAGCAGTCACCCTCTATCTAGAGAACAGGAACACATGTGTGCAGACATACTGGGGGTGGGAGACTGAGGCTGGTAATCGATTTTCATAACCCTGGAGATCCTCTTGTGGTTTTTTTTTTTTTGGGGGGGTCTGGTCATGGGGCCTGAACTCTGGGCCTGGGCACCGTCCCTCAGCTCTTCAGCTCAAGGCTAGTGCTCTACCACTTGAGTCACAGTGCCACTTCTGGCTTTTTTCTTTTTGCTTATGTGGTGCTGAGGAATTGAACCCAGGGCCTCATGGATGCAAGGCAAGCGCTCTACCACTGAACCACCTTCCCAGCCCCCCCCCACATTGTGGTTCTGTTTTTACTATAAGGGCATACTCCTTCACTCCCCTCCTCGCAAAGAAATGAAATAAAAACTCAGCCTACAGTGGAGAGTGCACACAAGCGGGACTTACCACTGACTTTTTCTCTTTTTCATTCTCTCTATCTACAAAAAAGAAAAGGCAAATCAATGTTTGTTTTAAATAACTCATTCTTCTAGGCCTTCATTTGCTAAACTGTCACATTAAACAATAATAGTTATAAATCACTCCCATACCTAAAGATGTTTTCCATCCCTGAGACCTCAATGTGGGAGTAGGGGCTGGTGGTGGAGCAAGAGAGCTTGACACTGACTACCTCCCTGGGACTCTGCTTAGCCGGGCCTGGGTGCTGTGGGCACGTTGTCCCGGGTGCTCGGATTCTTTGGCTGGGCATGTTAAACCTTTCCAATTCCCCATGCCTTTCTTGGCTGGGATGGAGGGTGGCCCTGGGGCCTGCAGTCAGCGATTAGGGTGGACAGCCAGTGCCCAGGATAGTTTAGGGCTGGGCCCCTGGCTGCCCATTACGGCCACCCGGGGTTGGCATGGCTCCCCATGATCCTGGAAGGTGGGGTGGGACACCTCTCAGCAGCCTGAGCACAGCGAAGGCCACCCTGAGGCCAGGAGGGCAGTGAGTCTCCTTTCTGCAGGGAAGGATCCCACCGCCAGCGAGGCACCCGGAATCTAACCGCACCCCATCCCACGACCCCCCCCCCCGGCAGCGGGCGGGAGACCAGCTGGCCCTGGCGCCAATCCAGGGGTTGGGGCGCAGGGAGACAGCGCGACGCCAGCGCGGGGGGCGCCAGGCACGAGTTACCCGGAAGCCAAGCGCGGTACCGAGGCCCGGAGCCCGAGGCGGGGCTCCCGGAGGTCCTCGGCCGGCTGCCCCGCAGCGCCCCGGCGGCCCAGCCCCGTAGCGACCGCAGCAGCAGCATGGCCGGGCGCGGACCGCAACCCGCGCTTCCTTCCGGTGCCGGGGCGGAGCCCGCCCCGCTCCCACCCACCCCCGACACGCCCCCAGCCACGCCCCCGCCGCCGCCTTAAAGGGACCTCGGCGCTTTTCTCCCACTCGCTGGGATAGAAGGGATCCCGGGCGGGGCGGACGGGGCACCACCGGCTGTGAGGTGAGAACACTTGGAACGAGGATGGCTGGTTTCTGGGACTGATTGGCGACTCTCTGCGGATCATTTGAGTGATCTCAGACTCCTTCCGTCTCCTGGCTGGCACGTGCCTAATTGCGTCTCAACAACCCTGAAAGTGGCTCTCTATCTTCACTCCTTTTCCCTGAGCGGGTCACTGCGGGGAGCGGGGAGGCCGGGGGCACCTGGAATTAAAGCCATTCTTTTTTTTTTTTTTTTGTCAGTCCAGTCATGGGGCTCAAACTCAGGGCCTGGGCACTTGAGCTTCTTCGCTCAAGGCTAGTGCTCTACCACTTTGAGCCGATGCTGTGTTTCTGGTGGTTAATCGGAGACAAGAAGCCGAGTGCCCCGTGGCTCACGCCTGTAATCCTAGCTGCTAGGGAGGCTGAGATCTGAGGATCACGGTTCAAAGCCAGCCCGGGCAGGAAAATCCATGAGACTCTGATCTCCAATAAATCACCAGAAAACCGGAAGTGGCGCTGAGGCTCAAGTGGTAAGAGAGAGCTTGACTTGAGCTGAAGAGCTGAGGGCCAGCGCCCAGGCCCAGAGTTCAAAACCCATGACCGACTCCCCCCCAAAAAAAATGAGGGGACGCTTGTAAGTCACACCTATAATCAGGGAGAAAAAGAAATTCACCCAGGAAATTCCAAGAGCTGGGGAGATTTTGCAATTCTTTGGATGTCTAGTTGAAACATAAGACCACAATTTAAGGGACAGTATTATGAAAATAAATACTATTTAGCCAGTGAAGTATCTAAAAAGTATCCGCGAAGCTTTTAATTGAGTTTTTGCCATTCTCATGAACTAATTCATGTAAAATTACACTACACATTAGTGAATAAATTCTTTTTTTTAATTTTATTGTAAAGATGCTGTACAGAGGGGTGACAGTTGAGCAAAGCAATGAGTACATTACTTGTTGATCATTGCTCCACCTTCCCTTCCTTGATGTGGTCCCTCTGTCCCTTCTTTATTGACTAGATACCAAATTAGATCTGTATCTTGATTTCATTGTGTTCTAATTAAAATAAGAGCGGAATTGAAAAAAATCCAGCCAGGGTTGGAGTAGATAAGTAATCTAAATTCAACCACCCTGGACACTATGTGACTGAGGGTGCCAGGGGGAGCCTGCCACTCCTGCACAGCAGACGGGAGACCCAGGGAAATCCGAAGCAGGTATGAGATATCCAAGGTGTGGGCCAACTTTCCCTGCACCTCCCTCCCTAACCTATCGCCGTCCCCTCCCCCAAACCTGCCACCATTTCCCAACCGCAGAGCTTCTGAGCAATCACTAATACCGAAGGCTGCGTGCGGCTGGGGCGCTCCACCGCAGCCGAACTTGCAACGGGCCCCGCCCTGCCTGCCAGAGACGGCGGGGCGCGTGCGCAGGAGTGGAGCCCACGGAGCGCCCGGCAGCGCATGCGCCCCCCAGCGCGCGCAGCAGCTGCTGGGCGTGGCCCTGACGGTTGCGATCTCCGCACGAGTCTCGAACCCACAGCCTAGTGTGGGGGTGTACGGCTGATGATGGGCACGACGGAGACCAGCCGGGTGAAAGGAAGGTACCGCCCCTTCTGCTGCAGCGTGAAAGGCCACGTAAAGTTGCTGCGGCTGGTAAGAGCCAGGGCTGGGACCCAGGGCCGGGCAGAGCCCAAGATCTCTAGTGCTGTCAACCTGGGTTTTTTATCCACGTCTTCCGAGGGGTCCCACCTGCCCCCCACCCCCACCCCAGGGATGGGAGAATGAAGATAAGCCATTGGGCACCGTCCCCCCTTCAGAGGGTTTGGGGGGGTACTACTCATCAAACTCACTCTGAACGGCTTTCTCTGGGACCCACAAATCCGGTGTCCAGTTATCTCCCAGGCTAGGAAGGCAAGCTGCCCTCGGGCATCAGATAAGCCAACTAGATAAGAAAGCTCGCAGGAGCTGTGATGATGCTGTGGTCCCATACTTTCTTTTTTTCTTAATTTTTTTATTGTGAAAATACTGTACAGAGGGGTTACAATTACATGAGCAAGGTAATGGGTGCATTTCTTATCAAGCATTGTTAACTCCCTTCCCATCCCCGCCCTTCCATCCCCCCAAAGTTGTAAAGTTTGTTTTTCGACATAGCGTCTTGTACATCTCATTGTTGCAATGGGTCCTCCTGTATCCCTATTTAAACGATTTGTTTTTTCCCTTCCCCTCCCCAAATTATACCAACATCAAATACAGTGAAAACAGGGGTTATACCATGAGGGAGGGACAAACAAAGCAACAAAGAAAACTTTTAAGTCGAATGTTTGATATGATGGAGTTCGAGGCCGGTACATCCCAGAACAAAGCACACAAAAAAGGAGAACTGCCTATTTTTAAGGGTTGACACTTACCAGCATCAGTGCAGTCAGTTCTGAACAGAGGTTAGGAGAAAGTGTGCCATTATTGGTGGGGGAGGGGAGGGAGTCAAAAGCTAGTCTTGTTAGAGAGGTAGAAACTAGCATAGTTTAAAATAACTGAAGAAAACTCAAAAGGAAGGAAAAAATAAGTTTGTTTTGTGTTTTGAAGAGTTGACTTGTGAAAGAGGAAGTTGAAGTAGATAATGTTACAAGGAAATATGTCCAAATAACTTAAAGAAGAGTTAGGAACAAAGTTGGAGAAAAAAAATGAGTTTTAAATTTTCCTGAACAAAAGGCCTGGAGGCAAATGCCAGCCCATTTCTACAGTGAATGGCAAAAAAAATTGAACAGTTTCATTTATTCAGAAATATTTCGTAAGTGCCTGTCAATTCTTAGGTCTATTCCAGGCTCAAGAGAGATACCAATGAACAATGCAGCAGTTCCCTGGTGGAGTCTGTGTATTGGGAGGGGAGGGGAGGGGAGAAACAATAAATATGAAGTATTCCAGAAGACCAGGTAAGAGAGGATAAAGGAGGAGAGAGCTGGAGGGGAAGACTGCCTGTGGCAGGAATAGGTGATCAGGCTGAGTCTTATGAAGGTAATATCTGAACTGAACAGAAGGCTGAGTGGGATGTGGGGTTAGCAATGAGAATCTGGAGGAAGTGTGTTTACAGCAGAGGAAAACAGTAATGTAGTGAGGTGGGAATGAATAAGCCTAGAAGCGCCGAAGCAGAACTAGGAAAGAGGAACAAGAGGCACAGTGGAGATAAAGCAGTGTAGGATTTTATAATCTGACTCACACCAGAAGAAGAAGAAAAATGTAGACCTGAGGTTTTGTTATCAGTAAGTAGATCAGTGCTAAGAGACAGGAGATTAGAACAAAGTTAGACTCAATCCAGTTAGAGCTTTAGCAGGACTCTTAGCAAGAGATGATTGTGACTGGGAACAGCCACCTAGTGGCTACTAGTAGCATAGCAAGTGATAAGTGGTTACATTTGGGATATATGGGTTGAAAACCCCTTATCCCAAAAAGCTTGAGATAAGTATTTTAGATTTTTATAACATTTGCATATAACTAATGAGATTTCTCAGTTATAAGACCCAAATCTAAACACAAAATTCCTTTATAAATACCTTGAACACATAGCTGAAAAGTAATAGTATCAGTGTTCTTAAGAATTCTGTGCGAGCATGACGCAGTTTGTGCTCAAATCGAGGTCAGGTGTGGAGTTTTATAGTGTCATTTCAGCATTTAGAAAACTTTAGATTTTGTCCAGGTGCTGGTGGCTAATGCCTATAATCCTAGCCTCCTCAGGAGGCTGAGATCTGAGAATCATGGTTCAAAGTCAGCCCAGGGAAGAAAAAATGTGAGACTCAGAAAAATCCAGAAGTGGCACTGGGGCTCAAGTGGTAGAGACCTGAACAAAAGAAGCTCAGGAACAGTGCCCAGGCCCGGAGTTCAAAAAAAAAAACACTTGAGATTTTTGGAACATTCCAGAATTTCATAGTAGAGCGATATTCAACTTGTAATTTGGAAGGAACACTAACAAGATTTACTGATGAAGCAGACAAGAAGAGTCAAGATGGCTCCTGCCAGGTGCTAGTGGTTCACATCTGTAATCCTACTATTCAGGAGACTGAGATCTAAGGGTTTCAAAACCAGCGTTGGCAGGAAAATCTATGAGGTTCTTATCTCCAGTTAACCAGCAAAGAGCTTGAAGTGGAAGTATGGCTTAAGTGGTAGAGGCTTAAACAAAAACTAGCCTTAAGCAAAAAAAGCCAAGCAAGATATGAAGTCCCTGAGTTCAAGCCCCAGTACTGGCAAAAGAAAAAGGCGGGGAAGAGGGGTCAAGAGACCAGACATGGGGGGCTGGGAAGGTGGCTCAGTGGTAGAGCGCTTGCATTGCATGCATGAGGCCCTGGGTTCGATTCCTCAGTACTACATAAGCAAAAAGGAAAAAAAAAGCTGGAAGTGGCACTGTGGCTCAAGTGGTAGAGCGCTAGCCTTGAGCTGAAGATCTGAGGGACAGTGCCCAGGCCCAGAGTTCAGGCCCCACAACCGGACCCCCCCAAAAAAAGAAAGAGCCCAGACATGGGAATAGTGTCACTTAAAACACATACCTTGTTCTCTAAAGAGAAGTCAGGATCCATCTGTTTAATCATGTTATATGTGTGTGCAGATGAGACACCAATTTAGTTGCTTTAGGAGTGATTGTTTTTGTCTGGGCATTGTGTTGCTCAGTACAATACTTACTTAGCATGCACAAGGCCCTGGATTCAATCTCCAATGCCACAAAATAAATAACTAGACAAATAAATAATGATCATTGACACACTTAAGCTTGTATTTCGTAGTCATTGAATAAATCACATTTTTCCTTCCCCCCAGGGAGTAACTGTGACATCGTTGGCTTTCTTTATCTTCGCAAAGGCCCCTGAACCATATATCGTGGTCACTGGATTTGAAGTCACTGTTGTTTCCTTTTTCATAATTTTATATATATTCAGACTTGATCGGTTGATGAATTGGTTATTCTGGCCTTTGCTTGTAAGTATTCTGTTTCATCCTTAATATTAAATTACTTTTTCCTGCTGAGTCATTGTAATAAACTCTATTTTTTGGTTTCCTTAAACCTTTTAGGTGGTCTCTGATTGGCTTACAAACTGTACTCACTACTAAGATGCCCTGTTTTGGTTTTTTGCTGCCAGTCCCAGGGCTTGAACTCAGGACCTGGGCACTGTCCTTGACTTTTTGGTTCAAGGCTAGCACACTCTACCAGTTGAACCATAGTTCCACGTCTAGCTTTTTGGTGGTTAAATGGAAATAAGATTCTCACTGACTTTTCTGCCCAGGCTGGCTTCAAACTGTGATCCTCAGATCTCAGCTTCCTGAGTAGCTGGGATTATGGGCATGAGACACCAGTGCCCCACTCTACTTCCTATTTATTTTGTGTGTGTCAGTCATGGGGCCTGAAGTCTGGGCCTGAGCACTATCCCTCAGCTCTTTTGCTCTACCACTTGAGCCATAGTCCCACTTCTGGCTTTTTCTGCTTATGTGGTGCTGAGAAATCAAACCCAGGACCTCATGCATGGAAGGCAAGCACTCTACCACTGAGCCACCTTCCCAGCCCTCTACTTCCTTTTTAATAACTGCTTTTCTAACATTTCAGAAGTTACAAGTTTAGTCTTCTAGCTTTAATTCCTTTTTGCCTATTTATCTGCAATCATAGATGACATGAAATAAAAATGTCAATTGCACCTCATAAAACCACAGTTCAGAGTGAAAAATTGTTTCATTTGGAGAAAATATTAAATGAATGAGCTAGATAATTAGAAATAATCGGGCTGAGATTTGACACCGGTGGCTTATGCCTGTAATCCTAACTACTTGGGAGGCTGAGAGAAGGTGGAGTGTGGTTTGAGGCCAGTCTGGAATTTTAAAAAAAGCTTGTGAGCTGCCTTCTCAACCAATAGCTGGGAGTAGTGGCTTTTGCTAGACACATGGGAGAGTGAGATAAGGAGGGTCATTACTGCAGGACAACCCAGGCAGAGAAATCTTTTGAGAACCCACCTCAATGAAAAGCTGGGCATGGTCATGTGCACCTGTCATCCCCGCTGTGGCAAGAAGTGTAAAATAGGAGTGTAGTTCAGGTGCACACCCAGGCAGGAAGCTAGGCCTTACCTCAGCCAGTGGAGAAAAGAGACTAAAGTCAAAGTGTGGCTTGCAGTAGCACCTGTGTATCAAATGCAAAGCCCTGCATTCAAACTCCAATACCACCAAAATAATTCATTAATAAAAAATAACATAACTGGCAGAGGTTTATCCCGAAATTACTATTTTTTTTCCTTTTAAGGGTATAGTATTTTGTTTTATTAATTGCATTTTAAAGTTGTTTGGCATGCAATGCAGACTACCTCATATTTTCTATTACATTACTAAAAAGAAGCATTCTGACTTCCCAGAGTACCCATTGTACCCTAAACCTTCTCTATAACACATTACTTTTTTTCCTAAGCACAGGAGTTTCTCCCTCCAGCTACAGCCGGGCGCCCATGGCTCATGCCTGTAATCCTACCTACTCAGGAGGCTGAGATCTGAGAATCTTGGTTCAAAGCCAGCCCAGGCAGGAAAGTCCATGAGACTCTGGAAGAGCACTAGCCTTGAGCTGAAGAGCTCAGAGATAACGCCCAGGCCCAGAGTTCAAGACCCAAGACTGACAAAAAAAAAGAAAGAAAGAAAGAAAAAGAAAATAGAACTTTCAAAGTCTTGAGAAAACTAACACTTTATTTTGGGGTTTTTTAAACATGGCCTGTTGGCTTGTTCATCTTATTTCCTCCACTTCCCCCCCTTCTCCTCCTTCCTTCTTCCCATCCATCTCTGTCTCCTTCTTCTTCTTGCTAGAAATTAAAAGTCTTGCACAGGGGCTGGGAAGGTGGCTCAGTGGTGGAGCACTTGCTTTGCATGCCTGAAGCCCTGGGTTCGATTCCTCAGCATCACATAAGCAAAAAGAAAAAAGCCGGAAGTGGTGCTGTGGCTCAAGTGGTAGAGCGCTAGCCTTGAGCTGAAGAGCTGAGGGACAGTGCCCAGGCCCAGAGTTCAGGCCCCATGACCCAAAAAAAAAAAAAAGTCTTGCACACGCTGTGATAGTGCTGTATCACTGAGCTCCATGCCCAGCCCTTGGAAAGCGGGCAGCCTTTGTGTAAAGCTGACCTTCCTCTTCTGTGTTTCTAGGATATTATCAACTCATTGGTAACAACTTTGTTCATGGTCATCATATCTGTGTTGGCTCTGCTGCCAGAAACTACAACCTTGACCATCCTTGGAGGAGTAAGTCAAAATCTTCCTAGTTTCTTTCTTTGGGTTTGCTCAGAATGCAACTTATTTGAAACACAGATACAAGTGCAGAAAACCTTCCTCTATTCTTCACTGGGCGGCAGGGGTGGTATGGAGGGGGAGGGGTATCAGAATAAAGTACTGACCAGCTGATTTTTTTTTTCGGTTGGTCGTGGGGCTTGAATTCTGGGCCTGAGTGCTGTCCCTCAGCTCTTCAGCTCAAGGCGAGCACTCTACCACTTGAGCCACAGCACCACTTCCAGTTTTCGAGTGGTTTATTGGCGATAAGAGTTTCACGGACTTTCCTACCCGGGCTGGCTTTGAACCTCGATCCTCAGATCTCAGCTTCCTGAGTAGCTAGGATTACAGGCTTCACCACTGGCACCCAGCTCAGCTGAATGTTTTGTTTGAATGAATTCATGCCCTAATTAACAGGAACATGATTTCATACTAGAACTTGAGGATTCCTTATTTAGGTGAGACAAACCATCTAGTAGTTCTTCAGGTGGAATCTAAGAGATGTCCTTACGGTAAGGGAATGTAATAGGAAGCGTGGTAACTAGAGGATTGTTCAGAAGAGTTCTAGAAAAGAAGCACATCAACTTCCTCAAACCTGATTCTTCTGCAATTCAGAATTGTTTGCCTTTTTTAGGTTCTGATGTGAAGGATTGAAATAAAACATTTCCTATCACCTCCTACTGTTTTGTTTTTGTCGGTTATAGGACTTGAACTCTGGGCTTGAGCACTGTCCCTGTGCTCTTCAGCTCAAGGCAAGCACTCTACCACTTAAGCCACAGTGCCAAATAAGAGTCTCCCAGACTTTCCTGCCCAGGCTAGCTTTGAACAGTGATCCTCAGATCTCAGCCTCCTGAGTAGCTAGGATTACAGAGGTGAGCCACGGGCACCCAGCAACCTCCTGTTCTTTTAATTTTTGTTTTGTTTTATTTGTATCTGTTTCTTTTGTTGTTGTTGTTGTTTTGGACTTTTTGTTGTTGTATTCCTGTACTGAGGCTTGAACTCAAGGCCAGGGCACTGTCCTTTAGTTTTTCAGAAAACTCAAGGCTGGCCCTATACCACTTGAGCCCCACAGCTCCACTTCCAGCTTTTTGCTGATTAATGAGCAATAAAAGTCTCACAGACCTTCCTGCCCAGGCTGTCTTAAAACTGTGATCCTGAGATCTCATGCTCCTGAGTAGCTAGGATTACAGGCATGAGCCACTGGCACCCAGCTGTTCTTTTTCTTTTTTCCTTTTTTGTTATACTTGTTTTTAAAACTCTTATTCTTGTCTGCTATGAAGAAAGAAGGGCCATAGAACTTTTTGTTCAAATTAAGTCCTGGGAAAATAGAGTTATGCTATCAGATAGGAATAAACACCAGTCATATGTGGCTACTGAGTATTTGAAATGTAAGGTGTGATTAGTCTCAATTGAAATAAGCTTTCAGTATAAAATACACATTGAATCCCAAAAATTTGCTGTCTCCCAGTCCCCACAAAAAAAAAAAGGTAAAACCACTTCATTATTAACTTTATTATCCTAAATGACATACTAAGCGACAATATTTTGGATATATTGAGCTACTAAGATGGATTAGTAAAATCAATTTTGCTCTTTTTTTTGGGGGGGGTCCATTCGTGGGGCCTGAACTCTGGGCCTGGGCGCTGTCCCTCAGCTCTTCAGCTCAAGGCTAGCACTCTACCATTTGAGCCACAGCGCCACTTCCGGCTTTTTTCTTTTTGCTTATGTGGTGCTGAGAAATCGAACCCGGGGCCTCATGCATGCAAGGCAAGCACTCTACCGCTGAGCCACCTTCCCAGCCCAATTTTGCTCTTTTTTTTTTTTCATATGACTCTTAGAAAGTCTTCCATCACTTGGCTCACATTGGTGACTCCCATATTCATTTCAGACAATCCTGAGATAAGGCATGAGCCCTGTCTGTCCTCAAGTTGCTTAGAGCCTAACAGGAGTTATAGATGTGTAACTGACAATTCTGCCCTTTGCAGAACTGTCTTTGTCCCACCACCTCTCTCTGTCAGTGGAATTAATATGATGCCAAAAATAAGAAGAAGAAAAGGGGAAAGCTGCTGGGTACCAAGGGCTCACACCTATAATCCTAGCTCCTCAGGAGGATCTGAGGATCTGAGGGTCGCAGTTCAAAGCTAGCCCAGGCAGGAAAGTCCATGAGACTCTTATCGCCAATAAACCACCAGAAAACCGGAAGTGGCACTGTAGCTCAAGTGGTAGAGTGCTAGCCTTGAGCTAAAAAGCTAAGGGACAGCGCCCAGGCCCAGAGTTGGCCCACAGCCGACAACACAAGGGGGAGGAGGGGCAAAGCTCCCAGAAACAGAATTAGCAATGGGCAGAAATGCCAAAGACCTAGAAGGATCAGTGTGGTCAGAACCCAGGAGGAGATGGCTTGAGAGTGGGTAGAAAGGGCGGATGTGGGAGCCAGGAAGACAGACATGTTGAAAGCTCACTGAAGCTGGAACAATAGGAGTCCATCTCCCCCACTTGCTGCCTCCAACACACATGGCCTTGTAGACTGATGGCTGCTCTGACTGCACAGCCCAGGCCAACAGAGCTGCCCACAGCGTCCAGCACTGTGTAGTGGTACCCTGTCAAACTGAATGGCATGCCAGGAATGCCGTTCTCCAACCTAGCTCCTATCAGCGCTCAACCATCAGAATTCCTAAAGGCCCTGAACATAAATATAGCTTGTTCCTCTTACCCCAATTTTATTGTCCTAAGACCTTTGAAGTTTGCTTTGGATCATTTTGTCACTCCTGTTCTCCAGAGCTTTGACCACAGCTGTAGTCTCCATGATTTCATCTGGAGCTGCTGTTGGCTCTGTTTTGTTTTGTTTTGCAATACCCAGACATTACAGTACAAAGCGTGTACCATCACACCCAGCTGACGCTAGCTCTGGCCCTTTCACCTGATTGGCAATAGGGAAATCAAACAGTTAAACACTAGGAAGAGAAATGTTGATAACCAAATGTGGTCAGTCGGCCATAAAAGAATATATTCAGAATATATTCACAACTCAAGCCTGTAATCCTTGCTAGTCAGGAAGCTGAGATCTGAGGATTACAGTTCAAAGCCAGCCTGAGCAAGAAAGTCTACAAGACGCTGATCTCCAGCTAACTACCAAAAGGCTGTGGCTCAAATGGTAGAGTGCTGAAGCCCAAAGTTCAAGCCCAATACCAATGAGAGACAGACCAAGTATTTCAGAGCCCATACCACTTCAGTGTTTTTCCTGCCTTTCCTTTTGTGTAGGCAGGTTTGGGGAAACGTGGCCAGGACCTGCAAAGTCTCTTCCCCTTTTAAAGTAGGGTGGCAGGACCCCAGCAGGTAGCAATCGGGTGGGTAGACCACTTTAAACTGCATGAATGACAGAAGCTGGTGACCAGTGTGTCTTCCTTTCTAGGTGTTTGGTCTTCTGACGGTGGTGTGCTGTCTGGCCGACAGTGCCCTCATTTACCGGAAACTTCTATTTAATCCCGGTGGTCCTTATCAGAAAAAGACATGAACACTTGACCAAAACAACGCTTTGTGATTTTTTTTATATTCCTTTTTAGTTGGTGCTAAGGATTAAATATAATTTCTTTATTCTTCCCTACATTTTCTGCCATTCTCATTTGAATCTCAGCGTGGGATCTGGAGGCAGAGATCTGCGAACCCTGGGCACAAACTTCCTTGGAGCTTGGGAATGGGGGGAGTGAAAAGGGGGGGCAGGTATCTGCTCCCCAAGCCTGTGGCAGGGTAGAAGCACCCAAGATGGCCCTCAGTGACTCAGAACTGCTTCCTCAGCCTGAGTGGGGATGCAGGGATTTGGAGCTCCCCTGGTGGAGGGGGCGAGCAGCGGAGGGGGGACGGAGGGGGGCGGGGAACGTGGTCCTGTCCTGGGGCGGGGGGCGTCCAGAACCAGGGCGCACGCGGGATGGGTGGCCAGCAGCCGTTGGGGCGCGGCGCTAGTTCCCCTTCCCAGGCGAGAGCCACCGCCTGGGCGCCAGCTGGAAGTCACAGAGCCAGCCTGCCCACGCCAGGTCCCCCCGGCCCCCCGACCCCACCATGAATCCGGAAAGGGTCCCTTCCGGATACTTGGACCCATTGGAGCCCCCTGCGTTCCCTGCCACATCGGCTCCTGCGGACACTCAGCGCTCGGGGAGCTCCATCCACAGTGCGCCCTCGCTGCACAGCCGGCCCGAGGCGCCCTCCCGGCACTCCCCGCAGTCCATTCATTCTTTGAAGCCAGAGCATGAAGAATTTAGGGAGTCCCTACCCAGGAAGCCCTGGGAAACAGCAGGGAAGGAAGCCGCCATGAATCGGGCTAAGCATCGCACCAAGGTTCCGGAAAAATACACTGACAGCTGCAAGGCGTTTTTATTCTCTCTCCATGGAATCCTGAAGATTTTGAGGATGGTGAGGATGGTGGCTGGGCGGGTGGAGGGTCGCCTGGCCTCAACGACTGCGGTCCAGAGGCCCAGCTAGGGAAATAATTCTATGACTCACGGTTCTTCTGCCTCCATTACTTGCCCCGCCTTTCTCCCGTGTGTGTGTGTGTGTGTGTGTGTGTGTGTGTGTGTGTGTGTGTGTGTGTGTGTGTGTGCATGACAGTACTGGGACTTGAACTCAGAGCCTCTGGCTCACACTGGCGCTCTACCACTTAAGAGCCACAATTCCACTTCTGGCTTTTTGCTGGGAGTTGGAGACAAGAGCCTCATGAACTTTTCTGCCCCGGCTGGCTTTTAACTATGATCCTCAGATCTCAGCCTCCTGAGTAGCTAGGATTACAAGCATGGGCCACTGGTGATTGGCAAATATCTGTCTCTTATATTTCTCAAGTTTTCCTCTTCTAGGAAATTAGGGAATCAATGACGCTTGTAGCAGAAATGTGTAAATTTAAAACAAAGGGTGGGCTTGATCAATACAAGGGCTGCCATTTCAAAGACATTTATTAAGGGGGCTTGGAGGTATGCCTCAAGTGGCAGAGCATCTGCCTAGCAAGCATGAGACTCTGAATTGAGGACCAAGTAATGCCATACAGGAAAATAACGTTGAAAAGCCTAATTGAAACTGAAAAACTATAGCCCCTGGATGAGATCTCTCATCTTTATCATCTCAAATAACGGGTCCATGGACACAGAGGGGAGAAGTAAAATGGCAGAGACTTACTGAAGAAAAAGATAAGCAGAACTCCTGCTAGACCAGAGATCCCAAGGGTGTACAAGGGTTAATAAGATGTCTCTAGGAGAGAACTATATGACTCTTAAAATCATTGGACAGCCTGCCTATCCATCTCCAGATCAACTCAGAGGCTCTGGGCAGCCTGCAAGAGCTCTCCATGCATTCTTTAGCCTCTGACAGGATGCCTGCTCCCCTGCACACCTCTGGGGCACACGCAAGTGTTCCAGGGGCAATGGGCCGTGATGATTGATGCAAGACAATTGGTAATTGGTGTCTAGGGGCCTGCATACTTGACTGCTCGAGGCCATGGTGAAGGATGCACATCCTCTGGGAGGGGGCCTTTCCCCTGATTGCCTGTCAGGCTCTTCTGCTCTTGAATTGATACATTACTGGCCAATATAATACAGGGGAAAAGGGGAGAGAGAACATGTTTGAAGTTAAAAAACAGAATGGGATATAATGACAGGCAACAGGGCAAAGATCTCAGTCCGAATAACAGCCGACTCTCTAAGAAAATATACATGACCAAAACTGATCTTAGACTAGCAACAGATCTGAACATATCAATATACAAGCATAGAAGAAAGAGGAACATTAGGCATGGAGTATTTTTCAAAAGTGAATCTGGCCCAGAGTTTCTCACAGCTTAAAAATTCAAACCTTCATGATACTACTATTCAAACCTGACACTACTCAATTTTTTTTTTCAGAGAACATAAGGAAAAACATTTCTGAATTTGTTTTTTATAAAGTCAGTCAAACGCTGGTATCAAAATCTGATCATGCCAGGTCCAGTGGCTCACACCCATAATCTCAGGAGACTGAGATGTGAGGATCAGAGTACAAAACACGTCCAGGCAGAAAAGTCCATGAGTCTTATCTCCAATTAACTCACCCCCTCCCCCAAAAAAGAAAAAGCCAAAAGTGAAGCTGTGGCTCAAGTGATAGAGTTACTAGCCTTGAGCAAAAAAAAAAAGCATGCAGGGACAGTACTCAGGCCCTGAGTTCAAGCCTCAAAACCAAAACATGCACACACACACACACACACACACACACACAAACCAAAAAAAAGCCCTGATAAAATTCAGGTGGTGGTGGGGTTTGAACTCTGGGCCTGGGCCTCAGCTCTTCAGCTCAAGCAAGCACTCTACCACTTGAGCCACAGCACCACTTCTGGTGTTCTGGTGGTTTATTGGAGAGAAGAGTCACACACTCATGACCAGGCTGGCTTTGAATCGAGATCCTCAGATCTCAGCCTCCTGAGTAGCTAGAATTACAAGCGTGAGCCACTGATGCCTGGCCAAATCTATATCTTACTTGTACCAAACACACTTACTAGAAATGGAGCTCAGAGCTCAGTGGTAGAGCAGGTGCTTAGCGTGGCTGAGATCCTGAGTCAGATCCCTAGTATGGAAAAAAATTAACATCAGAAAATTTTACCAATATGTTTTTTTAAAATATCACCAGGAGGAAATAAGAATGAGTTAGCATTAGGACTCTATTAAAATAATGACCATATTATAAAAGGAGGAAAATTATGAGGTAAGATCTAATGGAGTTTAAAAAAGTGATAAAATTCAGCATATAGTTCATACCAAAAAGAGGAAGAAGAGGGGAATATATAGATATTTCATTTATATACAGACTAGTAGCTCTGGCCCTTAATCCTAGCTACTCAGGAGGCTGAGATCTGAGGATTGAGGCTCAAAGCCAGGCCAGACAGGAAAGCCTATTAGACTCTTACCTCCAATTAACCATCAGAAAACCAGAAATGGAGCTGTGGTTCAAGTGGTAGACAGCTAGCCTTGGGCACAAAAGCTGAGCTCAGGGACAGCACCTAGGACCAAAGTTCAAGCTTCAGAACAACCACCCTCCAACCACCAAAAAAAAAAAGAGAGAAATTAACCTCTCAAACTAAAAGTCCTTATCATCTTTAAATAAACATCAGAAGTATTCCCATGAAAATGAGGGAGAAGAAAGATGCCCACAAAGCTTATTATTCAGTAGTTTTTGTGGAATCCCAAATCATCACAACTAGGAAATAGAAGCCAGGCTAAGTAGCATGTACCTGTAATCCCAGCAGTCAAGATCTTGAATTCAAGGCCAGCCTATGCAAAATAGGAAGAGTCTACCTCAAAATAAATAAAATAAAAAAATGTAAAAGTATATCATTTCTTTCAACTGATGTGATTATAAATCTAAAATATCGAAGGTAAACAACTAGGAAGCAGACAATTTAAACTACTGAGTTCATAAATAAATGAAACGATTTCCTATAGAACTTCAAAGCCAGCCTAGGCAGGAAATTCTATGTGATTCCTGTCTTCAGTTCAACAGCAAAAAGCTAGAAGTGGAGTTATGGCACCAGATTGAAAAAAAAAAAAGCTAAGAGACAGTGCCTAGGCCGGGAGTTCAAGCCCCAGGCACAAAAATAAAGGCACTACAGAAGGAACTGACAACTCAATAAGAAAGAATCATCTCTCCAAATACATCAAAAAATGTAATATACAATAGTGGCTGGAGTTCAGTTACAAGGCTGTGCTGTGCTGTGCTGTATATGTGTATAGACTTCTTTCTAGAAAAATAAACTGTTAGCTGGGCACTGGTGGTTCACACCTGTAATCTTAGCTACTCAAGAGACTGAGATCGGAGGATCACAGTTCAAAGCCAGCCCAGGAAGGAAAATCTGTGAGACTTTTAACTCCAATTAACCACCAGAAAAATGGAAGTGGTGTTGTGGCTCAAGTGGTAGAGTACTCACCTTGAGCTGAAGAGCTCAGGGACATAACCCAGGCCCAGAGTTGAAGCCCCATGACCAATAAAAAGAAAAAGAAACTGTTAATAACAATTTCCTCCCAGGAGACAAACTAGGGGAAAAGAAAAACACAGAATTTTTTTAACATTTCTATATTGTGCAACATTTTATCACTTGCACACATTATTTACTTGCTTAAAGTCATAAATTTTAAAATTAAACTCTAGGTGCAAAATAAAATGGGCAAATACATTATTTAAGCAAATTTACATTTTGACTATTTCTTTTTGATATCAATTTTGGGGCTTGAACTCAAGGCATAGGTGCTATCCCTTAGCTTACTGGTAATTAATTGGACTTAAGAGTCTTAGACTTTTCTGCCCAGTCTGACTTCAAACCACAATCCCCAAGTCTCAGCTTCCTGAATAGCTAGGATTACAGGCATGAGTCACCAGTGCCTGGCTTGACAACTTAGTTATTTACTCATTTTCTTATGTTTTGGCAATACTGGGTTTGAACTCACGGCCTCATGTTTGCTCAGCAGACTCTCTTCCACTGAGCCCCACCTCTTGCCCTTTTGCATGCTGTTTAGTTTTGAGATGAGTCCATCTTCTTGTTCAGGCATGTATTTGGACTGGTATGTACCTGGACTATGGTCTTCCTATTTTAGAATTCCC